ATGCCAGGCATTGTTCAACAGTAGGAGATACAGTGATGAGAAGGTTAAAACTTGTGAATCACCATCTGGGGATAAGGACTGACAGTAGATCACCACCTGGGGACATAAACAGACTCAGAATCTCTAGCACCTACCTTATTTGGGTAGGAGGGCCCAGATTCATCCTGCCCTTGAGATGGAGTATCCTGAACCAAGAGAGTAACTAAAAGTCTAAAACAATGACTCCCATAGAGTTGATAGAGGGAAAACTCTGTGACATCCCTCTCCCCATGTTCCCATCCAGCAAAGCCTCTTTGGATCAGAGCAAGGGCAGGATTCATAAGTAGAGTAAGCCCTGCTGAGCTCACAGGACGACACTACATGGCTTCCACAGGAGGCTAAGGCTGAGAGGGACAGAATAAGCAGACAAAAAGAGAAAAAAAAGAGGCTTCATGCCCAAAGAAGCCATTTAGAAATGAAATTTCAACAGGCTGGACCCTTTTCTTACTTTCCTCATTATCGTTGCTCACCCTCCTCCTCCTCCTCCTCCTCAATCCCCTCAAAACACACTCTGTCCTGGGAGGTAAGACCTGTTTCCACCAAACCTAGAGCTCAACTTAAGGGGTGGACCTGTCAGTTGCTCAGGTCTAAACCAGCACCCCAGCACTAACATAAATTCAAGGATCAATGCTGACAAACTCTGGGAATCCATGTTGTGTGGTGAGTCCTTCCTATGATTTTCATTTCTCAAAACTCAGACACCATCTAATAAAGCACATACAAGAGTATGGTCTCTGGACCTGAGTTCAATTCTGCCTAACCTTGGGCAAATGGCTCCTAATCACCATACATCTATGCAACAGGGATAAAGATAGTCCCTGCCACCTCAGAACTCAAGGAACATACCCCAAGCACTAAGAAAGGTGCCAGACCTGTAAGGTGTCTCTAAGTGAACAGCAGCTGTGAGGGTAGCTATACCTGCCTATGATAAATATGCTTTTCATCACTCATCCGTCCTTATTCATCAAGATAAAACAGATGGCACCCTTGATTTATGAGCCTCATACCCTAGGGCCTACACTGTCCAATACATGTGGCTACTGAGCAAATGAAATGTGGCCAGTGCAAATGGAAACGCACTGAAAGTATAAAAAGTGCCCTGGCTGGCCTGGCTGGTATGGCTTGGTTGGAGCATCATCCCTTAAACCAAAGGGTGGTGGGTTTGATTCCCAGTCAGGGCATATATCCAGGTTGTGGGTTCAATCCCCAGCTGGGGCACAAACGAGAATACAACCAATCAATGTTTCCCTCTCACATCAATGCTTCTCTCTCTCTTCCTTTCTCTCCCTTCCTCTCTCTCTAAAGACAATTTAAAAAAAAAGTCCTTTAGTGAAGATTTTAAAAAAATTAATAAAATGGACTGTATTTCAAAGACTTCATGTGGAAAAATAGAACATAAAATATCTCAATAATCTTTATATCAATTACATGTTGAAATGATAATGTTTACAAATACGTGTGGCTTGATCCCTGCCCCTCCTTTTTGGGAGTGGTGAGGGAGAAGAAACAAAACAATCAATATACAAGTATATACATCCATTTAAGCACAGAAAGAGGTGACAGCATCCACCCATATCCCCAAGGGAAGAGAGCATATCCACTTCGTTCACTGCTAAATCTCCAAACCCTAACAGTAGACACTTGGTAAAATCTGTGTTTCAGTGAATGGTTATCTCTAGGGGAGGGATTTTAGAGTGGAGGATGGCACCCTGTTATTTTCCTTATACATCTCTGTATTGTTTGACATATTACAATGAACATGTATTTCTTTCATAATTTTTTAAAAGGCAAGTTCAACCCATTGTCACACACACAATTTAAGGCTATGACCAAAACAGTCCTAAGAAACAGGAGCTATACCAGTCTAATGGAAAACGCCATAGCCTCTCATTCTACCAGTTGAAAACACTTTATGTTAAAGGAAATGACTGTTTAATTCTTTTATTAAAACATGAATACATTTAACTTTGATTTTGTGAGTTAAATACATAACAAGGTTACGCTGTTACCATAACGTGTGTCATTTTCTAAACATAAGTTTGAAATATACTAGCAAAATCTGTTTTACAGAAAAAAAGAAGGCATCAATCACACTGTACATTCTAAGTTCCATTTCTGATTTACCACTTAACAACTGCGATGTCTGAAAAACAGGTTCACATTTAAATCTTAGACCATTCTACACAGACTGGTAAAAAATCATGTCCTGTTGTCACTAACAACTAAAACCAAAAAGTTTTTAAATGTCACTGCTTTATTTCATCAGATTAAAAAAACACTTAGGTAGATTTGGTGGTCAACACAAATTTAATTGAAACCACAGGTTCCCATCATTAAATGAAACCACAATTACAGGTTCTGGACAACAGACTCAACCTAAATGGGCATCTCATAAATTCCCTTCCCAGCCTCCTTCCGGGTATGTGCTGCTTTCCTGAAATGCCAGGGAGGATCTTCCCATACAGAATATTTAACCCTCTAACAAGGTATAACTTTTCAGAAAGGAATGAACAACTCAGCCAAACTTCGCCAGGCTACAACTATAGAAATGGGTCCTTTGAAAGCAAAGCCTCGCTTGATGCCACACCTGTGGCCATTGCAATTGGGCCAAATCTATATTATGTTCTCTGCTCCTCACTAATAAATGTTTTGAATACATTAATCCTTGGTGACTTAAAAAACAAAACAAAATTCAACCTAGTCAAAAAAGGCCACCTCCATTGGCCTAGGGGAACTTTCAGTGCCCACAAGATGGGAGATCAAGGTGGGCCAAAGAAATGGTGTTTCCAGAAAATGGCAGCTCCATCCTCCTTGCCACTCAACTGGACCTTGGAAGGCTGGGTGAGAAGAGCAACTCCCAAAGTTCTGGGTTGGGCAATTGGGTCAATGTTGGCCCATTTGCCAGGATGGTGACTACTGGTTCTGGGAAAAGAAGTTTAGACTGAATATGTTGAATTCATGGTGCCCACGGGACTGTTACCAGGGGACATCAAGGAAGCACAGGCAACAAGGAGCTCAGGGGGCTGATAAGGCACTGAAACAGTCAAGTGCTGACATAAAGCAGTGAATGTGCTGGCTTGGAGAAAGAGTGAATGTGTGACTGAGCAGGAGGCTGCTTATAGCAGGTTGGCACCACTTCTTTTCAGGCCCTTACACTGAAGTACGTTGCACAATTTAAACTTCAGTGAACAAAACGGGGGGGGGGGGGGGAAGGAGGTCAATAACATTGTCACTGCTCTGCCCTATAAATTAGCAGCAAAGGCCTATCAAGAAAAACAAGATGCATTTATCAAGTGCTTATTATGCACCAGGCTCTGTGCTAAACACTAAACATTATCTCCTGGGATCATCGAAACAGCCCTGGCACAAAAGTCTGATGACAGCCATTTCACAGATGGGATACTAAGGTTAGGAGTGAACTGTGGGAGAGCTCAGGGCTGTCATGTCACAGCCCACAGTCAGGCAGTCTCTAGACCAGATGGAGAACATTGAAGGAAAACAATTATTTCACATAAGAGCTGTTACTTAGTGACAGAATACAATCTCTGCAAATCTTTACAGTCCTCTGAGGCTGATACTGTTCTCCCCTTTTACAGATGAGGAGCATGAGGCTGCAGGACAGGAAGTGAACTAGACCAGTTTTGAATCTGGCCCACTGGGGAGACTAAGACTATATAGCCAGAGCCCCACCCTCAAAGGGTCTCTGGGACACTGGAAAAACGCTGAATAAATGGGACCATTTGTTGAACCCTTTGTGCCAGCTGCTGTTCTAAACACTTTACACATGGTATTTGCACTGCATCCTCAAAACAACTCTATGAGGTGACTATAAAAATCCCCATTTTATGGATCAGAAAACCAAGGCACAGATCGGTGAAGTCAGTTCCCAAGGTCACACAGTTAGTAAGTGGCAGAGCCTAAATGTGAACTAGGGTCTCTTTGCTTTCCAAACCAAAGCTCTTAATAAAATAATTTCAGCTAACAGCAGCCACTGTGTATTGACTGATAATTATGGACTCCGCTTTTTACATGCACATCCTCAACTAACCCTACGCGGTCGCTAATACCTTCACCCCATTTCTAGGGAGCCAACAATAGCGCAAACATGTAACCGCCAGATCTCAACCTCTCAACAGAATCCCCAGCAAAGGACAGATACTCTTTTTCACCCGTTTTACCAAAAGGGGAAACGGAGTTCAGCACGGTTTCCCTAGATCGAAGCACCGGAGTGGCAGAGCAAAGACGCGAACCCACTGCACCCTGACTCCCATTCTTGTTCTTCCGCACAGCGCCGGGTATAGTAGGTCTGGAAAGTTGAGTCATGCGGAACCGAGTTCGGCCAGGTCCGGAGGGCGCGAGTCCTGGAGCCGCCGCCACCACAACCGGTGCCTACACCCGGCCGTCCGCCTGGTCTCCCGCTCGCGCTGACCCTCGGCGTTCGAGTAGACACCGATTCCCCGCCACCCTTGAGTGAGCCCTCCCCTGCACCTGGAGCCACATACCTAGGCGTCTCGGATGCCTGCCCTGCGGGACCCACGACCCCGACGCCCGGCCCCGCACCGTTTGCTGGAGACACCGCCAGCTCCAGTGGCCCGAGTGACTTCCAGGCTGCCCACTTCCAAGCCGCTTCGCGCTAGGCCTCCTGGGAACTGTAGTTTTACCCTAGGGGGCAGCAAACCGAAAAAAGCCTGGCGCGCAGGCGCTGCCGGGAGCAATAGGCGCAGCACCGTGCCACCTTCTGGGAATGGTAGTTTACCTGCTATCTCCGTGGCGCTCCAATCGCCAGAGCACTTCCGCAGCCCCGCGGGGAGTGAAGGATGGAGGCGTGTCTTCTGCAGACTCCAACCCTGTTGCCACTCTCCTCGCTCCGCAAGCGCGGCTTTTCCCTTTCTTCCAGCCCAGTCCGCCTGTTTCTTTGGCGGATCCTTTCCCTCCCCCTCCGCTAGGCGCGAGTTACTTACCCCGAGGGCTTGAGCCTGGGGAGAAGCGGGGACAACAGAGCGCCGCGTTAGACCTCCAATGAAGCAGAGCGGTGAGGGAGGCAGTCCGCCGGGTCTCCCGCTCGCGCACGCGCGTTGGCCGGCCAACTCCGGTCTAAATTGCCGCGGGCCCCGCGGGGAGGACTCCTTTTCCTTTAGAACGCGCGCGCGCTCTAGGTCGCGCGCTGGGCCTTTTACTGCCTGCCGCGCGCCAGTGCGCACGCGTGCTCACTCCCCTCGTTTGGGTCGGTCAGTGGGACGCGGGGTTAGGGGTTTAACTGCTGTGTTCGAGCTGTGTCACGGCACCATTCCCCAAGGTCGCTCCTGAGGCCCTCCTTCTCGGTCTGGCTCTTCACATGGGAACTTGTGGGTGTGCCACCACACACGTCCTAGCCATCCCTTGTTGAGAGTCCTGTCGTCGCAGGTAATAGGTGCCGCCCCGGATTTGATGAGGCCGAGAAGGCCTCCTTCCCTCCCACGCGGTGGACCAGATGTCCCAATGTGTATGGACACAAGTGTGGTCGTCCTTCCCCGGCTTAGGGAATTCCAGAGCCTTGCTTCAGTAGCACCACCCAGGGGACTGCCCAGAAGGCCGTTGTCTACAGTACATTCGTTGATCACATGTTCTGAGGGAACCTAGTGTTTGTTGAGTACCTGTGACCTGGAAAATATCGTCCGAATTCATTCCACTTCCTCACATAATAAATATTCGATACGCCCCCTCCCCCATTTTTAAATGGGCGTTGCTGCTCCTACTTCGTAGCGGTTTACCGGGAAATTGGCTGGAATTGCAAGGACCTCTGATCAAATAAACCCAGTCAGTCCCCTTCCCATGTCATCCGTCCTTCCCAGAAGATCAGTAAGACTTGAAGCTGGGAAGCATGCATTTCTTCTTGAGAGAGGGTAAGGGTCATTCATCTGCTCATTAAACAGAAATGTAATAAAGCACAGGGGACACAGGAGAAATAAAGATGGACTAGGTTCCTACCCTCAAGGAGAGAAGTCCAGTGTGGATGTCAGACCACCACATGACAGTGACCGTCTAAATCATTAGAGATATAATGCAAGCCACATATGCAATTTTAAATTTTACATTAAAAATAAAAAGAAACAGCCCTGGCCTGTGTAGCTCAATTGGTTGGAGCATGGTCCAGGTTCCATCCCCAGTCAGGGTACATACCTAGGTTTCAGGTTCAAGGGTTCAATCCCAGTCAGGGCACTTAGGAGAGGAGGCTGACCTATCTCCGCCCCTGCCCCCTGGAATCAATGAATATGTCCTTAGTGTGGATAAAAACAAAACAAACAAATAAAACAGGTCAAGTTAATTTAAATAATTTAAGCCAATATATGCAAAATAAGTTAGGTTTAATAAAAAAGATTTACATTGCTTCAATTTTGAAATTTTAGTTAAAATTAAAACACGCACTAACAGATGTTATAGCAAAAGGTTGGAATCTGCCCAATGTCCACTAATAGAAATTTGGATAATAAATAAATGATAGTTTGGCCACACAGTGGAAATCATGCAATTCTTGGAAAATGAGACAGAGCTATGTATATCAATATGAATTCATCTCTAAGATATATTGAGAAAAATGTGTGGAACGGTGTATAAAGCATACTACCATTTGTATAAGAAAAAATATTTTTTACATATATGTTTGTGTATGTGCAGAAAACTGTATAAAGACATAACAAGGGCACCTTTGTGGAAGGGAAACAGGACAGGTGATCATGTGTGAAAAGGTGACTTTCTTTTAATTATATGCTCCTTAGTAGGTTTTGAATATTTTTACCATGTCCATTTTTAAAAGTTGTTAAATGGAGGATGATAACTAAGTCATAGGATCATTGTAAGAAATAAATTAAACAATGTGTAAAATCCCTGCCTACCACTTTATAACCTAATCAATTCTGAATGTTATCATTACTCCCAGGTAACTCTTCCACTCAAAAGAAGCTAGTTCATCCTGATAATGTATCTTTGTTAGCCTGGAAATTGCTTTTTCTATAAAGATGGTTAAGTTTATTTCACCTGCGAAGTTGCCTGTAGGGCCAGAGTAGCATTCCCAGGCCCTGGGAACAGACTTGGGCTCCTTATCAGTAATATCATTTTTAAAAAAATGTAAGTAACCCAAGACTTACCTCTGGCTTTACAACCCTCTGACATTATAGCCAACTCATTAGGCCTTTCTAATGCCAACTTGGCTTTCTGCACCCTGTCCCCAAACATGAGAGCCACTTGCAAAGCTGCAGGAACCCATGTAGGGACCTACCTCAAAGAGTGGAACACATATCACCCTTCTTGTTATATATACTCATTACACTTTGTTCTTTTCCTTCCTTAAACTAATACACTAGCATAATTTAATGTTTTAAGATTGAGAAGTTGGAGAAAGGTTCAAAGAATACTATAACCAGAATTTCCATTGTAATCACTTTTATGACTATTCTTTGATGTATGCCCTCCCTGCTGAACTCTAAGTTCTTTGGGGCAAGAACTGTATACCCTCACGCTCCTATAACAGAGCATATTGAGCCAATGAGTACTCAAAAGGAGCCCAAGTGGGCCATTAGTGTTGTGGAGTGCAGTGCCCCTAGAGCTAATTCTCGATTACAAAGGCATGGCTAATGGGATGTTTTCCTTCCAACTTACCAACCACTGACAGTATGTTGGAGTGGACTGCAGCTAAGAAAAAGGATGTAGTGCCAGCATCAGTGCCCAGTCACAAACCTGATTTGTCTCCATAGTCAGCAGGACATACCATGTCTCAGCCCCAAATACTGACCCCTACCTCCAAGTTGGCTGGAAGGCTTGAATTCTCCCATTAGATCGTTTTTGAGTTATTAAGATATTAAACGGTCAAGACCATTGGAATTAAGACATCTGGAGTTCATTCCAGACTTGCTTTTACAGACAGGTAATAGGATAAGGGAATCATTTGTGGTGAATTTTAGAGAAGTTTCCTCTGAGGATTACCTGAGGAAGCTAGTGTATGGGATGGGAGAGAGTGGCAAAACACAAATAAATAAACAGAGGTTTGAGGTTTGAAGGCCTTTTTCATTAACCACTAAGGAATGTGCTCCCAGAGGGGCCCAACCACTTGCTTTTTGTAAACTGGTCAAGAGAAGTTGGACCCAGAGGAGATATTAGAAGCAGTGGAAACCGATGGCAGTGATTGCAAATTTGTTACTAATGATGACTCTCTCAGCAGCTCTGGGGCCTCAGGGAGCCAGTGAGGTAAATTTGAACTTCGGGGCCTGGCTTACAGGGCCATCCGCTAATGTGCAGGATATGAAGCAGGTCCCACTGGTTCTTGAAAGGTGATGCAAAGCAGCTACAAGTGCAGGGTTTCAGAACAGAATGGAAAAAGATAAGGCAGGAAGGCAGGATTCAGTCTTGGGAAGAATGGGAGGACACAAAAAGGATGCTAATGACCTAACCCAGTTCCCATAATGGGTCCCATGTTTGTGGGTCAGAGAGCTTCCTTAGCATCACCTAGCAGAGTCTCTTCCTGACTTTGTCTGATATGGAGAAGAATCCTGAAATGTGGATTGGAATTTAGTCTTGAATCTGTGTAGCACTGAACATTGTTCCTCTCTGAATTTACATTCCTTATATTTATAATGGAGATGATGATCTGTCTTTCAGAATTCTTTCAAGAACTAATGAGGCAATTGATGTGAAACCTTTTTTGTGGGCTCTCACTTTCTACATGTGAGATGATGATACATTTTGCCTGCTACTTCCCCCCAAATTCAGCCGTGAAGTCTCTGGCAACACAGGGCCTAGGCTTAGCCATACTAGAAGATGGGTTCTGCTGACATTATCTTAGGAGGCCCAGGACAAACTGATCTGGAACTTTAATAGCTCTCCAATGGTCCTCCAGTGGTTCTCGGATTTTACTGTGCAGTAAGGTCAGCTGGAAAGCTTGTTAAGACTCAGATTTTTGGGCACTGACCTCAAGTTTCCAATTCAGTGGGTCTGGGGTGAGGCCCAATACTTTGCATTTCTAACAAGTTCCCAGGCGGTGCTGATGCTGCTGGCCTGGGGATCATACTTTGGGGAATCATTCTTCGAAACTGAAAGTTCACCAGTTTCCTTCATCTGGCAGGCACAAGGGTGGCCTCGCCTTCATTGCCCTCTGCTGGCCAGACTATAAACTTAACTTGTTTCCAGAGCAACGGGTAAGTACAAAGTATAGGTTGGAAGGAAATAAATACTTGTCTGACAACCAAATCAGTCTAAAAACAGTAGTCATAATAATTGTTTGTTGCTTCAGAATATACTTTAAAGGTATCAACAAAACTATTTGATCTTTGCAACAATTCTGTGAAGCAGGCAACACTGGCATTTTCATCGTACAAATGAGAAAAACAAGCCTGTTGTCAGAAGAGAAATGCCCTGGGAGAGGGGGCTTGTTAAAAGTAGGATTTGCCCTGGCCAGGTGGTTCAGTTAGAGTGTTGTCCTATACACCAAAAGGTTGCAGTTTCCATCTGTGGTCAGGGCACATAACTGGGTTGTGGGTTTGATACCCAATTGGGGCTCATGTGGGAGGCAACAGATTGATGTTTCTCTCACATCAATGTTTCCCTCTCTCTCTCATCAGTGAATATATCCATATATCCTCTTCACTGTGAGGTTAAGACAAAAAAGTAGGGTTTATTCACAACCCAGCAGAGAAAAGTGGAGGTTTGTTCTCATGAAGGCTAAAGACAAGGGAGTGCAGAAGAGGATGATAGATGAGTCACACGTAAGGGAGCAACTTGATTCTACTAGCCTGGGAAAACCTGCAATGCCAAATGGCTGGATCTTTACTCCCACTGTGCTAGGTGGGCTGACCCTTTGTCCTTGGGGACCAGCATGTCAATGTCTTGTTTTAGTTTTCAGACTTGAATGTCCATAGAATCACCTAGGGTGCTTGTTACAAGTGAAGGTTCCTTAGTCTCACCTCCAAGTTTCTTCAGTAAGACTAGGGCAGGACCTAGGGATCTGCATTTTAATACATACCTCCACCCCAGGGAACTTTGGGAACTCCTAGTCCTTGCAGAATGCTCTCTTAACTGTCCACAATCAGCAAAGAACTATCTGCCTGTGATGGTATTCCTTTCTAGCCCCCATCTGCTTCCCTTACCCACAGTACCCCCCTGGGTTATGATAGTTAAGATTCAGCCCCCAACTTCTTTATGTGCCCTCTCCAAGCCTCAGTTTTCTCATCATTAACGTGAGGTAATCACTGGGCTGGAGTGAGGATTAAATGAGAAGGTATGTCTTATGTATAGTTCCTGACATTCAAAAAGTATGCAATAAACATGTGTTCATGCATCTTTCCTTCTGATTCCTAGCTCCTCAAAAAGTAGTAGTGGTTTATCTTGCTTCTTGTGGATTTTTGCAGGTTTTTAAGCAATGGTACTGAGCAAAACAAGGGGATAATCAAGGTGATGTCTTCCCCCAGACTCATTCCCCTCTGGAAGGATTTTAAATACCTCATAAGTGACATATATAAAAGCAAGGTAATGTATATGTAGGACATAAACATGTTATTGGCCTCTGTCTATCTTGATATAATTGTAAGCACATCTGAGGCGCATAGATTTCCATGTAAGAAGGGAGCCTCCAGGGGAGACCATAAAGACAATTGTCACCTTAGGAAGTGGGCCATCAATTTCCAAATGAGTCAAGAGACCTCTTGCAAGGACATTTTGATAGTGGAAAGTGAATACTTTGGAGGCTGGTCAGAAGAACCAACCCTCTGGGAAGAGAGATTTTTCTAAAAGGGAAGGGAGAAGGCACCAGAGAGAACATTTGCCAACCTCAGTTTTTCTATGCTTGGCTCTGTGTAAAAGGATCCTAGGTTCATGTTGCACAGCACATGCTCTGTCACTGTGGGATAATATATTTTGTATATATATCATCTTCCTCTGTCAAATTTAAAGGCCAGGTCGGGTGTCCTAGAAGTCTTACTTAGTGCAGTTTTAAACTTTAATATAAAGCTGCACTGACTTTTGGGACATCCTGTTATATTGCATGTGGGTATATGGCAGTGCACTTACTTGCCTGATAATATGTTAAATGTGTCTTTTATGGCATATATACCTTTTAGACAGAAGAGGGAAAGTTAGAGGACAGGTGTAGCTAACTTCATGTTGAGAAGAACATAAGTTTCCCCTGAGCTCAGACTATAAAATTTGCCCATAGAGGCCCAGTGGAGGTTTGGTTCTTTCATACTGGGAGTTACGTTACATGCTTGTGAAGTGTAGGTGTCCCACAGGTGGTAAGTTGTGCATATGTGGGTGTAAAGGGAGTGGCCCTTGGGGTTGTGGTATGACTTTGGGAACTGCTTTGATTGTGGCTTGAGTGAGAATATATTTAGTGCATGTGTGTTCTGGTCTCTTAGTTTATGCCATGCCTCTCCCCAGCAAACTTTAGATGACCCAAAGAGTGACATAGTTGTGCTGAGTGACCGGTCCCAGATACTGTTCAAAGAGTCTCGCCATCCTCAAAATATGCCGTTTATATGCTATTACTTCAGTGATGCCAACTTCTTTGCCTCCCTCTCGTGGGTAACAAGCACAAAGGAAATACAGGTAAAACTCCCTAGTCATTCTTCTTCTTAGCTCATTCTACAGGGGCCATGTCCATGTAAACTCCTCACCCCAGACTGACAAAGGAGGATGTACACCTTGAATGAAAGTGACCTGGGGAACATTTGAGATCTTGCTCCCAGGCATATGTCCTCATTTTGGCTCAAATAAACTCATAAAAAGTCGAAAAAGACAAAAATAAATAAAGTGACCTGGATGCAGGATGCCCCCCTCATCCTTCCTCCAATTATACTCTTCATGTTGAATAGATTTTATGGTTCCCCTAAAGTAGGCCAAGGTTAGGGAAAGAGTCCTAGTCTTCCTGCTTCTACAGTATTTCCAACCACCATAACCATGGGATAAAATCACTCTAGAATCCTCCAATTCCTCCTTAGCACAAGAACAGGGAAAAACAGCTGAATATTGTGCTGTTTCCTCTTCTACCATATTTTCTAGGCAGTTCCCATCTTCTTCTCTTCTAGGCTGTAGTATGGATGAAGAGCAAAACTGATGACATGGTCGAGAAGAGAACATTTTCCATGACTGAACGATTGCCACCCATCCAGTGTATGGTACACACAGGTTCCTTTCATATCCTCGTGGCCTACTGTGGTGACCTGCTCCTGCGGCTCTTTGGGGACCACTTTCGGTCATTCAAACCCCTGGGTATAGTGCCTTGTCGCTTTAACATCAACTGCCTCTGCTATGACCCAGAAATGAAGATGCTTCTGTCTGGCATCCTTGGGGCAGTCGTTGTCTGGACCATTGAGCAGAGTGGCAAGGGCCTCCAAATTGCCCACATGGTTTCCATGCCTGGTGATGAACTTGTCCAGGACATCATGTTGAATGGCCCTGATGGCTCCCTCCTTGCCCTGTGTGAGACTGTGGTGAGGGTCCTTGAGCACCAGGGCCTGAGCCAGCTGGGAGAGGTGAAGAGATTCATTTCTACCACTAGTGGCTCCTCTATTACTTGTTGTTTCACCTGTTTTGATCAGGGCTATCTCTATGCTGGAAATAGGACTGGGGATATCCAAGTATGGAGCCTCAGTCAGAGCTACTCTCTCCACAGTTTCAAGGCCCATTCCTTGTCAGTGATATGTATCCGCAGCAGGTCAGAAGCCCACACCCTGCTAACAGCTGGCAAGGAGGGTTGCATCAAGGAGTGGAACCTTACTTCTGGGAACCTACTGCGGCAACTGGAACTTGGAGAGGAATTGTATCGACTCCAGTTTATTGATAACATTACCTTCTTCTGTCAAACTACCCATACTTTCTCCTTGCGCCGTCTGCCCTGCTTCTATAGCCTCTTCCATGTCTGTGGCTCTGCTCCAGAGCAGCTGCGTCGGGTCCGCTGTGGTAATAACTGGTTCCGGATCCTATGCACTACTGAGGATGGCTTGTTGCGCTTTGTGTCTCCACTAACAGGGGATCTCCTGGTTCTCACCTGGCCCTTCTCAATCCTGGACCAGGCTGTCGATTGGGCCTATGACCCAGATAAAGAGGAGCTCTTTGTAGCAACAGGGGGCTCAGAGGTGCTGGTCTTTGATACAACCCGTTGCCCTTGCCCAGCCAAGTATCTTTTATGCACCTCACCAAATTCTCAGGACTCAGTACAATGCCTGGCTTATGGGCATTTCCACCTGGGTAGGGGGCTAGAAGGACTCATGTTCTCTGGACACCAGAGTGGTATTATAAGAGTGCTTTCTCAGCATAGCTGTGCCCGAATAGAGAAATTCGTGCACTTTGGGGCTATATTGGCATTCTCTACACTGCCTGGAGGGCTTTTAGGTGGCCGAGAAAACTCTTTGCTCTGTTCCTATGGAATGGATGACTACATACACCTATCAGAAGCTGTGCTTGATGGGACCAAAGTATATCTACAGCCTCTAGCCAGCATTCTCAGCAGCTGTCACTTAAAACACCTGATACTCTTGCCAAAGTCTGTGGGTGCCATCACAGAGACCAATTGCCTGCGTCTCTGGAAATTCCACGATTTTCTGTCCTCTGAGACACAGGAAGGCTCCAAGTTTATAGAGACCTTGCCTCTGCACCAGTGTGCAATTACATCATTTGATGTATGTCTGACCTTGAGTCTTTTTGTCACAGGTGGTATTGATGGCTCTGTCCGGATCTGGAACTTTCACGGTAGACTTGTAGCCATGCTGGACTCATCACTGCACTTTGGCCCACTCTGCTTTGCAAATGACCGGGGTGACTTGCTTGTGACTTTCAACCAGAGTCTTTATCTGGTATCCTGTTTAAAACTGCTTCCCCCAACCCAGCTGGTTCACCTTTCATTTATGAGCCTGACAGATGAAGTGCTAGAAATCCCTAAACCTTTCTTACCAAGCTTCTTCTTCTCCTTTGAGACCATGTTTGTGCCCAAGTATACCTACCTTGGACAAGGGCAACAGGAAATAGTGGGTCTGGAGAAACTCGTCAATAAACGGGCCATTGCCTTTGACCATACTGTGCCACATGTCATAGAAGAAGATGAGCAAGGGAGCCTCATATTACTGTCTACCCCAAGATGTGGTTCCTTGAATAAGGAGAAAACGGATATGAGGTTGAGCAAACCTTATTCCCATTATGTGGTTCCTCCCCAACTACAGTTGACTACATGGGATGGACTCAACCCTTATCAGGTATTGCAATGCTACTTTGGTTATGGGCGGAAATGGCCCTTTGCTCCTGATTGCTACATCCCTAACTCAGTGATTCGTGCCCGTCTTTGGCCAGAGGGCAGCCCAATTTACTTACAGTGCAACCTGCATTCACCCATGAGGAAGCTGGAATGGGATAAGCCTCAACAATTCTTCTGGCACAATAGGATAAGGCTGATACATGATGTAAAAGAACATCCACAGGAAAAGGAAGATGAAGACTTCATTGAGATGAGAATGTCCAAGGATATAACTTATAGTGTCCTTACAGACCCAACAAACCGCAGTTGGCTGGGAAGAAAGATGACTGAGATAGCTATTAATAGCTTGATTGAGACAATCCTCAACATTATGATCTATGCTCCTCCTCCATTGAAGTACCAGTGCTGTGTTGGTGCACTAGGGCAAATCTTTGCTTCTTACCAGGTGTCTCCAGCCTTGCGCTCTGAAACAGCCCATCGTTTGCTGGATGATACAACCAATTCTAATCCACTGATCCGTGAGCTGGCCTGGGAAGGTCTGAAGCGTCTCGGAATGATTACTCATCTCTTTGCTGTGCCTCTGGCCCAAGGGTTAATGGACAAGGACCAAAGAGTGAGAAATAAGGCACTGAGCCTTATGGCTGACACTGGAATCCATTGTAAGACCTCACTCTTAAACTTGATTCAGAACCAAGAGACTTTCCGGGAGATGCAGTAAGTTCTTTGTGCCTTCTTTAGTTCTTTACTAGCTTCTATTTTTCTTCTCCCCTTTCTCATTTTACCCTCCATTCTTTCACTATTTCTTCATCCCTCTTTGGATTTTCTTGTCTTTTTACCCTATTCATAGTCTTTTGCCATTCCTAGACTATCTTGATAATCCCCTGACTGCCCAATCCTTTCTCTATTTCTTCTATTCCTGTCTGTCCCATACCTCTTCAAGTTCCCCCTTTCAATCATCTACTCCTACCATTGCAGCCTCCATACAGATCATTCCATTTATTGCCATCTTATCTTCCTAGACACTTTTTTCCTTCTTGGCCATCTTTTACCTTCACATACACAGTCTCTGTTGGTCACTTTGCCAAGTCCACTGCCTGTTCCATATCAGTTCTTTCCCTCTCATTCTCTTTTTTTCCCCATAATTCAGCATGCTCCTTTTCTCCTTTGACTCTCATAGGCAGGAAATGATTGGGCAGGAAACCTTGGACAGTCTGCTGGGGATGCATGCCACAGATCTCCAAATCCTTCATACTCAAGTGGAACAGCGATTGAATGAAAACCTGACTTTGTCACATGGAGATGAAAAGCCTGCTTTTTCTTTAGATGTCCCAAGGGTTTCTAAAGTTATGTCCCTTTCCAAGCAATCTATTGTAATTACTGAAGAATCTGAAGTTGCCATCAAGCCCAGCAAAGGCCAAAGATGGGGCCAAGCAGGGGGAAAAAAACATAGTATGTATGGGGTGAAGCAGTTCATGCCCTACGGTCTTCAAGAAGCAGTGTAGTTAGGGCTAAAGTGAGTCAAGAGATATCACGTAGGAGTAGAGATAAGTGGAAAGAGCTTTTCACAGATCTAGGGAAAATTCACCCAAACTCAGGAAGACTTCAAGGCCCCTCTCTCTATGGTTTCGGGTGGGAACACTGGGAATAAAGAAAGGATAATGTCTTTTTTTTTTTTCCTTAAGACCTCAGCTCCCTCTGTTGTTATTTCTTTATGGTAGTCCTCTTAGCTCATACCAAATATTGAGAAGGGTTTCATTTAAGTCTCCCATGCTGTCCTTATCTACATCTCCTGATTTTTTTCTGCAGCCCCAAAATTGTTGCGGATCCTCAAGAAGATGAAAGAGACTGGCACAGAGCCAAGTCCTTTAGACGGTGAAAGTGATCAGAGTAAAGTTGCACCAACTGAGGCGGAGAATACAACCATCTATTCTGGTTCTTCAACCTGTAGTGTGCTAAAGATTTCAAAAGATGCTGAACAACAGCCTCCAGAGAAAGATGTCTCAAAGGATGTTGCATTGACCCTGAAGACGCTAAGGAAAATACATGACAAAAGAGGCAAGAAAACAACAGTCCAGAAACGCATAAAGAAGCACAAGAAGAAGAAAAAAGAAGCTGAAGTTATAATTAAGGAGGAACCCTTGTCTAGTGTAAAGGAAGAACCAGTTGTGAAGAAGGTGAACACCCTGGGGCGGGGTGCCTATGGAACTCCTGGCCACAGGGCTACCCCTGGAGATGGCTCATCATGGCGGGATGATCTATGTCGTCTTATGACCCTGAGGATATCTGGTTCCCAAACAAAAATGTCAGAATCTCTAAATACTGAGTTAGTGACCATGGCTAAGGAGGTGCTTGCAGATAAGCACCCCAGCTGGGAGCTCTTTGAGAAGATCTGCCCCCTGCTAAAGAAAGGAAGTGAGGTTCTGCTTGAGGACCTTGACTGGGATGTAGCCTGGCCAGAGGAAAAACCAATTTTTATTCATGAAGGAGCAATTAGAGAGGACATGGTGATCAGAGATATTGAAGAGATACCACAGGGGCAGGGACAAGTGCAAAAGGAAGCAGGGGACATACAGGACTTATGGGAAACCCAGGTAATTCCCAAAAAGGGCAAGAAAAAGAAAATTATTTTTTTAGAACCAGGTGGCCTAATCAAAGGGAAACAAATATTAAAGAAAGAAGAGAAGAAATCTTCTAAGAAGCTCTTTAAGCAAAAAAGAAAAGCAGTCCTAAAAGAAATAAAAATGGATAAAAAAGAGAAGAAAATTACCAAAAGAGAGAGGGATGGGAGTCAGGAAGTGGAGGAAATGGCCAAACTAGAGGGAAAATTGATTGAGCAAGAAGAAAGACCAGTTATGGATGAGAGGAAGCTGTCTTTACAGGATTGGAAGAAGTCCTTGGACCAGTGGAAACAGGTCCACGGTGAGAGGAGGATATCTTGGAATGAATGGAAGAAAGCCTGGGACAAGGGGCATCTTGAGGAAGAGAAAAAACCACAAGAGGACAAAGAGAAGCTATTCCCAGATGAGGAAAAGTTGGAAGAGGGAAATAGGAAGCTGGAATGGGATGAGGGGGCACAGGCCAGGGAAAAGATGTTGTTAGGCAGGTCCAGGGATCATAAGTTCAAGGATGAAGAGGAATTGACTCTGGAAGTAGAAGAATTATCTCAGGATTGGGAAAAAGAAGAAGAAGGAGGAGGAGGAGAAGGAGGAGAGGAACAGGAAGAGAAAGAGAAAGAGAAAGAAGAAGAAGGGCTAGTGACAGAAGAGCAGAGACAGATCCAGGAAGAATATAAACAGGCCCAGGTTGAGAGGAAACGAGCCCAAGCTGAAAGAAAACGAGCTCAGGAAGAGAGGAAGCTGGCTCAAGAAGAAGAGAAGCTAGCACAAGAAGAGACAAAACTCGCTCAGGAAGAGAGTAAACTGGCAAGAGCGTATGGAAAACTGGCTCAGAGGTACAGGAAAATAGTCCAGGAAGAGATGAAGGTTGTCCAGAAAGAGGAAAAGCTGGCCCAAAGAGGGGAACGGCTAAGCCAGGGAGAAGAGAAATTAGCCCAGAATAGGAAGAAACTGGCCAAGAAATTAGAGAAACATGCTCATGAAGAAGAGAAAATAGCAAAGAAAGGAGGGAAGCTGGCTGAGGTAAAAAAAATACTGGTCCAGAAAATGGAGAAAGTGGTTCAGAAGGAGCAAGATCTGTCATGGAAAGAAAAGGAACTAGCCCAGGAGTTAAATGAGCTGATGTGGGAAGAGGAGGAACTGGCCTGGAAACAAGAGCAGCTGAATCAGGGAGAGGAGGAACTAGCTAAGGAATTGGAGGGACTGTCTGAGGAGGAGAAGATACTGGCCTGGAATGAGGAGAAACTGGCTATGGAAGAGAAAAAACTCGTCCCAGAAGAAGAGGTACTGATTCGGGAAGAGAAGAAACTGGCCCAGGCCAAGGAATATCTGCCTGAGGAAGAAGAAAGACTTGCCCAGAAAAGGGAACAATTAATGGAGAATAAAAATAAACTGGCCCAGGAGAGGGGAAAATTGATCCTGAAGAAGGTGGAACTTGCAAACAGTAAGAAGATACTAGCCAGGAGGGAGGAGAGTCAGGACCAGGAGAAGGAAAAGCTGGCTCAGGAGGAGGTAAAATTGATTCAGAGGAAAGAGAACTTGCACCAGCTCAAAGACAACCTTGCCAAGGACAGAAAGAAATTAGTGGATGTAAAGGAGAAAGTGGACATATACAAGAAGAAATCATTTCAGGTAGAGGAGAAGCTAATGGAGAAAAAGGAGGAACTTTTCCAGAAGAAGGAGAAACTGGCTGATGTAGGGAAAAAACTGGCACAAGTAGAGGAAAGTCTGGCTGAGAAACAGCAGAAGCTAGTTCAGGACAAAATGAAAATAGCTATGGAACAGAGGGAAATATTTCAAGAACTGAAACTGCACAATAAAGAAGGGGATATTACTAAGAAAGACAAGGGATTGGGCATGGAAATGAAGAAACTGGCCCAGGAGAAGGTGAGACTAGCTGAGGAAAAGGAAACTCTCTCCAAGAGAGAGACTCAAGAAACCTCAACACAGAGGAAACAGAGTAAGAGTGAACTAGAACTAATTAAGAGGAAATTGTCACTAGAAGAGAAGATAATGGTGTATGAAGATAGAATATTGGCCACAAAGCAAAGAGACATTGTCAAGAGGAAATTAGAATTTGCTAGAGGAGGGAGAGTATATGCTCAGGGAGAAAGGAAGCTAGCCAAAATAATAAGAAAGCTGACTAAAGGAAACATTTCCAAGGAACCATCAAGAGTGAGCAGAAAAATCTTAAAGGTATTTCAAGACCTTATCAAAAAAGAAAGGAGACTAACGCAGGAAGAAATACAGCTGACAAAGAAAAGGAGGTCATTCTTGGTTATGGAAAGAAGATTGAACGAAGAACAAAATAAACTTGATGCCAAAGAGTGGGATATTTCTGAGGAACAATCAGAAATGACCAAAGATGAGGAGAAACTCACTAAAAAAGAGAGAAAACTGGCTAAGGAAATGAGTATAATGATAAAGAAAGAGAAAAAAATAACTGAGGAAGAAAGCAGATTGACCAGACAACACAGAGAAGCCATACAGGAAGAAGAGGAAGAAGTAACAGAGGAAGAAGTAACAGAGGAAGAAGAAGAAATGTCATTCTTTAAACAAAAGTCAAGAAAGAGAAAAACATCAGAAAGAGTTGATAAGCCTCAGGAAGAATTTACCAGTCAAAGGGATGAGGTGGAAAGTGAAGAGAGCTTTTCTGGAGAAATAGACAGCCTGTTAGATGAAGTAGAGCGAGAGAGTTTGTCAGAGGAGGAGGAAGAGGAGGAACAGGAGGAGGACGAAGAGGAGGAACAGGAGGAGGACGAAGAGGAGGAACAGGAGGAGGAAGAAGAGGAGGAACAGGAGGAGGAAGAAGAGGAGGAACAGGAGGACATAAAAGAGGTGGAGGAGAAGAAAGAGGAAGAAGAGGAGAAGGAAAAGAAGAAGAAGAAGGTGCAGGAAGAGAAGGAGATGAAGGTGGAAGTGTTGGAGAAGGATGAGAGTATGAGTGAGGAAGAGATGGAAAATTTGAGTGAAAAAGAAGAGGAAGAGGAGGTAGACAAGGAAAAGGAGATCTTAAAAAGAGAGAAACTATTTAAGTTACAAGAAAAAAGAGGAAAGGACCTAAGAAGAAGAGAAACAGTCCCTTCTATTGGAAAAAGATTCCCTGAGGTCAAAGGCAGTGATATAAACCTGGAAGTTCTGAAAATCCCTTCCAAGAAACTGATCTCAATAGCTCTGGGGAGGGAAAAGACTACACCAGGGCCAATGTCATTCTGGAAAAATAAGGCCACTGTACTTGAGACACCCAGGATATTCACAGAGACAAGGTTTATGGATAAACAAGGAGAACTGTTGAAGAAATATCAGCCCATCCCTCTACAAGCTTTGGATATGGTTTTGGAGTCCCAAGAGCCAGACTTAAAGACCCCATATTTATCCCATATATTGAGGAAGACCGCAGAACCTCAGAAAGTCCCAGGCAAACCACCACGGGATAGGTGGCAGTGGCTTTTGAATGGTGATCCATCTCTGGTGGAACAGACTGAGATACAATTACCTGTGTCCCAAATCCTGGCTGAGGAAATATATGCAGGTGTGAGCCTCTCAGATATAGAGTGGCTCCACCACGTCCTAGAACGAATGGAGGCAGGAGAACAGCCTTCCAGAGATAGTTTCCACAGATTGTGCCAGCTTCTCAAAGATCTCACCTCAAAGGGAACCTTAGAGTGGATGCATCTAGCCAAACTTGAAGCTATCACTTACCGTCACAGGCCGGTCCTGGAATCACAAAGTACACATATCTCAAAAACCAGTACAAAGTTCATGGGTCCAAAATACCTGAAAGTGATCCCTCCTATAAAAAGAAAGGAAAATGAAAGCTGTTTAAAACCTTTGACTTTTGCCACACCAAAGTACTCATTAGCTACAAAAAGAATTCCAGATCCAAAAGCTATAAATTGGCATCTTCTAGGACAGCCTTACAGGAGTGCCCGGGCTGAGCAGATATCCAATGCCCTCAAGGAAATAGAGACGCAACATTTTTATCCTGCCACAAGAGACATTTTCACAGGTGCTCATACCTCTGTGGAAAAACAAACTTTAGCACTGATGTTTCAAAAGGACTTCTGGGCTTTTAAGGATAAGGGCAGGTTTCCCAGATTGCCCAAGGTGGAGAAGAAGGCACAGCCCAGCTCTAAAAAACAGGAAAAGGTACCTCTATGGGAGACATTTGTGGCACTGTACCATGTTTTGCAGATGTTGCAGGAGCGATATGCAGAAGATAGGGCTGCTTGGAGAGAACAGTTCTACCACCTCATGGACCTGTACCAACTCAGGTCCCCTGCAATCCAGAGATTGCTACAGGAGCTGCTACTGAAAGAGGAACCCCGATCCCATGAGGTCATTGACAAAGAGGCCCTAAAGGCCATGGAGCTAGTTCCGGGGGAGCGGTTGTTTTACCACCTGTTTTGTGGTCACTCTCACATGCCTAGAGGTCCTCTGGAGTTTCAGGAGGTTGTGTCCCTCTCAGGGCAGAACAATGTGCACACCATGCTTCCCATGGGCATTGCCCACTATGGCATCTTAGAACTTGCCTGGAAGAGCCTGCCCCAAGCTGATATTCACCTCACCAAGGAATTGCCCAACATCATTGCTCCTGCCCCCTAATTTGGGACTGACTGGATGTCAGGACTTTTAATTTCCCCCTGAAGAAAGACCTTGTCACCAGGTCTAGACTTTCATTCTTAGGTCCCATACAGAGGTAGGGCAAGGCCAAAGCCATTATTCTACCCAGCTCCAAAAGCCAGCTTCTGTATGTGGAATAAAGAGGAAGTTCTTATTTCCAATAAGCTCTGTGATGTGTCCCTTTCCCCCAAATATTACTTCTCTAGAAAGGTAGCCAGTGAGACCAGATACATACTCCAAAGAGTGGGAAAACATCAAAAGTGAGTGGTGCTCATTTCTGGAGGCCTTCAGATAGAAGGGCCTGTCCTTGTCCTCTTTTCTTCTTGTCTCCCATCATCCTCTCCTAAAGACTATATAGGAAGGAAAGCTCCTGACACAAAAATTAATATGAAGCATTGATATAGTAGAAAGAAGATGGGTTTTAGAGTCAGAAAACCCAGCATTTTGTCCCTTAGTTTTAGAAGGTGCACAGTGGAGGCAGACTCTATTTCCTTGATCATAGCTTTGTATGTTGATGATTTGAATCCAAAAGAGCAGATGTGGTGGGCGTTGAGACCCTCAGAGTAAAGGAAAAAGCTTCAACATGTTCCAGCCAGTACCTCATTACTGGATGGAACTAAGGATAAGGCCATTTGATGTTAAAGCAGAGAGGGAAGCTTATCTTGGACATAGAATTTGGGGAAGATGATAGAATTTGGAAGACTAAATGAAAGCTCAAATAGGCCACCTGCAGCCTAGGAACTTATAATACTTCCTTCTAACAACTAAAGAAGAAAGAGCTAGTAAAGTGGAGGAAATTGTTATTGTCAGTACACATGTTCCTTTCCTGATTTCTCTCTACCATGGAGACTTTAGAACTGCTTCTTTCCAGGTAAGCTGAGTCCTCCAACAGCTTCTCGCAAGTAGCCCACCTTTGCCATTTGCTACTCCCCATCCCACCTCTTCTTTGTTTTTCTACTTCCTCCACATGAGGGAAAGAGAACATTCTGAAAAGTTGAGTTCACCTTGGAGGCCAAGGGCAATTGGGTTCAATGCTTCTCCCTCTCTCCCCAATTCCTCTCTTTAAGATCAATCAATAAAAAATAAAAATAAAAAAGTCAACCATACACAAAAAGTATACTCAGAGAAGTGTATTATTGCCTCCTATATCCATGCACCCCATTTTTTTACATGTTCTTATAGGAAATCAGCTTCAATGTTTCCTGGTTTATTGTTCCTGTGTTACTTTTTGTAATGGAGTCATTGGGCTTTTCTAAAAAAGAAAGCAGACCAGGAGAGGATTCTGGGAAGATGGCAGAGTAGAGGCATGAGTAATCTGTTTCTCTACCTAGACAATTGCATTGGCTGAATCTGTCTGATGTAACTTTGTTGGCACTCTGGAGCCTGTAGAAGGCTTGCAACCTCCAGAGGAAGACTTGGATGGTGAGTTGAAGTTAATTTTGATCAATTTCATCTCTTAGCACAGTAGCAGCTACCAATTCCCCATACCCAGCCCAGTGGCAGGTAGCTATGCATATATGTTCCTAGAGCAGCTTGTACACAACTAGTAGGAGCCAGAATAGGCAGAATGGACCCTGTTCTCCAAATGTTGGATATCTGTGCTCTCACTGCTGCTTCTGATCACAGAGGTTCAGACAAAGAAGTGGGTAACCATTAAAGAGTGTACTTCCCCCACAGTTTCAAGCTCCTCCCCTTCTGGCTGAAGTGACTTCCAGGGGCTTTAAGTGGTTGGTGCCCTTTGTTTCCCCTCTTCTTTTTTTCCCTGCATTTTTGGAGCCAGGCATTAAACATTAAAAACAACTGCATTTGCAGGGAAACTTAGAAGGTGACCATATATGCCTGGGAAAAAGGATCATGAAAGACCCAAGAAGACCTTAAGTTTACACATCAGGCTGACCCCTTGGCATAGAGACAGACTATGAAAATAAAATTAAAAAAACTAAAACAATAACAACAGCAAACCTGGAGAAGTAGCCTCGTTTCCAGAGTTATCACATTATTAGGTTCAAATGCCCAGTGCTCAACTATAAAAAACCCCCCACAAGATATACAAAGAAATAGAAAAATATGAAGCATTCTAAGGAAAAAAATCAATAGAAACCATCTGAAAAAGATCTGATTGCAGGTATACTAGACAAAAACTTAAAAATAGCTGTCTTAAGCTCAAAGAACTAAAGAACAATGTAGTGAAAGTAAAAAAAGCAAAAAAGATATATGAACAAAATAGAAATATTAGTAAAGAGAAAACCTAAGAAGAAATGCTGAAAAGTACAACAACTGAAGTGAAAATTCACTAGGGGGATTCAAATGCAGGTTTAAGCAGGCAGAAGAATCAGCAAACTTGAAGATAGGACAATGGACATTATCAAGTCAGAGGAATAGGAGTAAAAAAGACTGAAGAAAAGTCAACAGAACCTAAGGCACACCAGTATAAGGAGACCAACATATGCATTGTGTGAATATTAGAAGGAGAAGAGAGAGAGAAAAGAACTTTCAAAAAAAAAAAAAAAAAGAAAGAAGAAAGAGAATATATGAAGAAGTGATAGCTAAAAACTTCCTAATTTTTTTAATCCTTACCCAAGGATTTGATTTTTAGAGAGGAAGCAAGGAGGAGGGGTGGGGGGGAGAGAGAGAGAGAGAGAGAGACAGACAGACAGACATTGATTGGTTGCCTCCCTATATGCCCTGCCCAGGGATTGAGCCCACAGCATAGGTATGTACCCTGACCAGGAATCAAACCTGCAATTTTTTTGGTGTACAGGATGATCCTCCAACCAACTAGGCCACCTGGCTAGGGCTTAGGGTTATGGTTAGGGTTAAAAACTTCCCAAATTTGACAAATGACATGAATATAAACATCCAAGAAGCTCAACAAACTTCAAGTAGGATGAACTCAAAGAGACTGAAACTAAGACACATTGTAATCAAACTTTCAAAAGACAAAGAGAGAATCTTAAAAACAAGAGAGAAGTGAATCATCATAAGGGATCCTCAATAACAGCCTTATCAGTAGCCTTGGCTGGGTAGCTCAGTTAGTTAGAGCATTGTCCCAATATGCTAGGGTTGTGAGTTTGATCCCTGGTTGGAGCATGCAAAAAGCAACCAATGAAGTACATGGATATATGGAGCAAGAAGTTGTTTTTCCTCTTTCTCACTCTCTCTATAAAATCGATAAATCTTTTTTTTTTAAAGAATCTTACCAGATTTATTATCAGAAACCTTGGATACACAAAGGCAGTGGGATGATATATTCAAAGTGCTAAAAGAAAAAAAAATTATCAATCCAGTATCCTATATCCAGCAAAAACTATCCTTCAAAAGTGAGGGAGAAATTAAGACATTTCCAGATAAACAGAAGCTGAGGGAGTTCATTACTATTATATCTACTCTGTAAAAAAATGCTCAAGGGAGTCCTGAAAGGACATGACAGTAACTCAAAGCCATATAAATAAGAACATAATAAATTTAAGTACATGGGCAATTATAAAAGCTTATATTACTGTAAAAGTTGTAAGTGCACTTTTTGTTTTCTACATGATTTGAGATTAATATATTTAAATAAAAACAATTATTAGTAAAAAGCTAGTATTATTGTAACTTTGATTTATAACTCTAGATTTGTTTTCTGCATAATTTAAGAGACTAGTGCATGTAAAGAATTGCTAGTTTATGTTTTGGAGCACACAATGTATAAAGATGTAATTCAGTGACAGGATTATAAAGCAGAGTTTTTTGTATGTTATTAAAAGTAAGCTTGTATAAATTCAAATTAGAGTGTTAGAACTTTAGGGTGTTAAATGTAATCCCTATGGTAAGCACAAAGAAAATAGCTATGGAATATGTACAAAAGGAAATGAGAAAAAAATTAAACATCTCAATACAAAAGAAGACAGTAAGGAGAAAATGAGGGAAAAAATTATAAGCCATATAGAAAATAGCAAAATGACAGAAGTACTAGTAAGTCCATCCTTATAAGTAATTACTTTAAATGTAAATAGATTAAATTCCTATCAAAAGACAGATTAGCAGAATGGATAAAAACATGATCTAGTCCTGACCAGTGTAGCTCAGTTGGTTGGGCATCATTCCACAAAGCAAAAGGTTGCCAGTTCAATTCCTGGTCGAGGCACTTGCCTGGATTGTAGATTTGGTGCCTGGTCAGTGCATGTAGAGATGTTGCTCTCTCACATTGATGCTTTTCTCCCTTTCTTCCTCCCTTCCCCTTTCTAAAATCAAATAAATAAAATCTTAAAAAAACATGACCCAACTTTATTCTATTTACAAGATACTCTTTCTTAATCCAAAGACACAAATAGATTGAAATTGAAATGATGGACAAAGGGATTCCACGCAAATAGTAACTAAAAGAAAGCTGAAGGTGACTATCCTAATATTAAAAAATATACACTGAATCAAAAAAGGTAACAAGAGGTAAAAAAATATATTGTATATCAATATGTTTCAATACAGCAAGAAGATATAACAACTGTAAATATTTATTGACAGCCCATCAAAATATATGAAGCAAAACTGGACAGAAGGGAGAAATAGATTGTTCTACAGTAAGAGTTGGGGACCTCAGTACACCGCTCACAATAATGGATAAAAAAACATACAGAAGATAAGGAAATAGAGAACTTAACACATATACATTCTTCCTGATTGCCAGGACAGACCTTATATTAGGTCATGAGTTACATTTCAGTAAATTTTATCTCTTATGGGTGGGCAACACATTTAGTTTTATTTTAATCAAATCGCAACACTTTCTTTACAACTGATGCAAAGTGTACCTACAGTTTACTATTACAGATCTACTTTTAAAAGGCTTCCTGTGACATTACAGCAAGTCTCTTTTTTTCAAAGAGAAATATTCCCAAATTCTTCCATCAATGAACTCTATTCCAGTAAATGGTAATTACATGAAATCACAGCAAACCAGTCCCTTAAAAGGAGAGCCAAGAAGTTTCCACCAGTTTATT